ATATTATGTGAGTACAAACAAAGGAATATTTTAAAATGTTATTAAAGGAATAAGAAAACTAACTCAAGAATAAATAGAGCCGGGACTGGTTTGGCTCAATGGATAGAGCGTCGGCTTGGGGACTGAGAGGTCCCGGGTTCGATTCCAGTCAAGGGCATGTACCTTGGCTGCGGGCAGATCCCCAATAGGGGGTGTGCAAGAGGCAGCTGATTGATGACTCTCTCTCATCGATGTTTCTAATTCTCTATTTCTCTCCCTTCCTCTCTGTACAAAATCAATAAAATATATTAGGAAAAAAAAAAAAAAGAATAAATAGAAAATATTAGTAACTATATATCTACTAAGAAATTGAATGTGTTATTAAAGCATTCCCACAAAGAGACTACAAGCCAGGTAACCACCAGTGAAGTCCTTCAAACAGTAAAGAAGAAAATACCACTCTTAAATGACTTCCAAAGAATAAAAGAAATACTCAACTCATATATATAAAGAGGACAGCATAATTTTGAGTAAAATTATACAAAGCCTCACAAGGACATTACAAAAAAGGAACTTACAGACTTTATGTCTCTCATGAACAAAATATTAGTAAATCAAATTCAGGGATATGCAAAAATGGTAGTATATTATATTGAAGTGGACATTATTCTAGGAATGAAGGTATCAATGCAATATACCACATTAACAGTTTTAAAAAAAAGGGGGGGGGCAAGGGAGTAATAGGGAGGAAAGTTTATAAAGTCCCGCTGATGAGCTCAGTGGTTGAACATTAACACATGAACCAGGAGGTCACCAGTTCAATTTCTGGTCAGAGTACATGCATGGGTTGCAGACTCAATACCCAGTGGAGGGCATACAAGAGTCCACGGATTGATGTTTCTCACTGATGTTTCTCTCTGACTCTCTCCCTTTCTCAAATTTGTGACATATTTTTTAAAAACCAAAAATTAATACCTATTCATGATTTTTAAAAATCAAAAACTAGGATACAAGTTTATATCAAGGATATGCACAAAAAATCTAGAGAAAACATACTTAAATAGTGATGGGTTGGGTTTTTTTACTTATATAATTTTATTTTACACATTTAAAAATTTTTTAAATCTTTATTGTTGAAAGTATTATATATGTCCCCTTTTCCCCTCCATTGGCCTCCAATAGTGATGCCACTGCTTTTATTTGCCATTGTATTAGAGGTCCTAGCCAATGCAGAAAAAAAAGAGTAATAAAAGAAATGAAATGAAATAAAAAAGAAGTAAAATATCTAAAGATTATAAAAGGCAGAGTTTAAACTGTCGTTATTTGTAGATAGAAAGGTTGTATATATTAAAAAATCCAAAATATTCTACAGATAAACTATTTAAAGATAATAAGTGAACTTAGCAAGTCATTAAATACAGATCAATATACAAAAGTTGTTTTTTTCTATGTAGTAGCAACAATTAATTAGAAAATGAAAACAATTTATAATTTATAGTGGATTAAAACTTACTAAATACCTAGGAATAAATCTAATGAAAGATATATAGCCATTCTACCTAGAAATGTGTAAAGAGAAATTAAAATATATATAAGTAGGTTCATAGATTAAAAACTCAATCTTGCAAAGATGTCAGTTCTTCTGTAGTTGATGTATAACTTCCATGCAATCTCAGTCAAAATCCCAACAGATTTTTTGTGGGAAATGACAAGCTCGTGAAATTGGTATGGAAATCCAGAGGACCAAGAGTAGCCAAGAAAGTAATTAGGAACAAAGCTTGAGGACTTCTAATGCCAGCCCCAAGACTTATTACAGAGCTCCAATAAAAAACAGAGTGCTGTTCACCTAGCACCCAGATCTTGCTTTCTAAACACTATTCTCCAGTAAAAAGAACCAAGGTTCTTTGGAAGAAGTGGCTAATTCCACAAATGGGGCATGGAAAATACAAGCTGAGCCGGAAACATCTTTCAGTGCTAATAAGCAAGGAAATTCATGGCTAAAGATGAGGGCACATTAAAAGGACACAGAAGTCAACCCGATGAGGCTCCTAAAGGCCAAATCTAAATCAATTTGAGCAATAAAATAAATGATCATATTGAATTCTAACCCACAGACTAAAACAAATATCCATGAGTCCAAAGTGATATAAACAAATGAAGGAGAAGGGACATATGTTCCTTACAGAAGAATTCCAGTTATTAATTATGCAGGAATTAGGAAACTACAAAGCCACCAGCAGGCGAACACTACAGTAATTGTTGCAAGCAAGATGAGTGCGAAATCAGTGGGCAAAAGCTTGAGAATGAGTAGGATTTTACATAATTTCAACATCTCTCCCGCAAAGTGTTGGTCAGTTTCAAAAAGGAAAATAATAACTATAGTGGAGAGACCTAGTAGACACTCCACGATTTTGATCATGGTTAATATGTCAAAATCTTGAAAGAAAAAAACTAAGGATCCTGCCACAGATTGGGAAAGGCTAAGGAGACATGGATTGGGTCATAGAACAGGAAAAGGATATTAGTGAAACTGGTGAATTTAAATAGTCTCTTATTTTATTGATATATCAACATTAATATCAATATATCAGTGTTAATTTACTTGCTTTGAGTTTTGTACTCTGGTTGTGTGAGATATGAACATTGGAAAAACTGGGAGAGAGATATATGGGAACTCTGATTTTTTGCAACTTTTCTGTAAATCTAAAATTATTTTAAAATACAAATTTAAAAAACAAAACTAGCATGGTATTGATACAAGGTGCATCAGTTTCCCAGAGCTGCTGTAACCACATACTACAAACTGGGTGGCTTAAAATAACAGAAATTTAATCTCCCATCTGGAGGTTAGAATTTCAGAATCAAGGTGTCAACAGGGCCATGGTCCCTCTGAAGACTCTAGAGTAGGATCCTTCCTTGCCTCTTGTAGCTGCATCATTTCTGTCTCTTTCTTCACCCGGCTTTCTTCCCTGTGTCTGTATTTCCTCTCTGCTAAGGATGTCAGTCATATTGGACTTAGGGTCCATCCTAAATCCAATATGCACCCTACATCCAATATGACCTTATTTTAATTAAATAATCTGCAAATACTGTTTTCAGATAGGGTTATATCCTAAGGTACCAGTTAGATATAATTTTTAAGGGGACACTGTTCAATCTAGTACATAAATATAGGCAAATAGACCAATGGAACAGAATAAAAACTCTTGAAATAGACTCACGTATTGTGTCTTACTTAAAACAGATGTGCCGCCAAAACGGGTTTGGCTCAATGGATAGAGCGTCGGCTTGGGGACTGAAGGGTCCCAGGTTCGATTCTGGTCAAGGGCATGTACCTTGGTTACGGGCATATCCCCAGTAGGGGGTGTGCAAGAGGCAGCTGATCGATGACTCTCTCATCGGTGTTTCTAACTCTCTATCTCTCTCCCTTCCTAACTGTACAAAATCAATAAAATATATTTTTAAAAAAAACAAAACAGATGTGCCACTGTAATGTAGTGGGGAAGGAGAATCTTTATAATAAATGAGTCAAACAAAAATCTGCATGTCGATGAAAAAAATCTTGACCTCTACCTCAAATCATACATAAAGAGTAATTTCAGATCAGATAGATAGATAGATAGATAGATAGATAGATAGATAGATAGATAGATATAAATGTAATAGATGAAACAAATGGTTTTTAAGAGAATATCTTCATGATCTGGAGGTAGGCAAAGATTTTTTTTTTAATTGAACACAAAAAGGACTGCCATTATTGGGACTAGTTGATAAATTGGACTTCATTTAAAATAAAAGTATCTGTTCATCAGAAGATACCATTAAGAGAAAGAAAAGGCAAAAGCCCTGGAGTAGGAGTAGATACAGTACATAGACCAAACAGAGGACTCACATCTAAAATATATAAGGAATTCCTATAAATCAATAAGAAAAAGGTAGACAACTTTTTTTTTTTTAATGGTCAAAAAACTCAAACAGGCATTTCATAAAAGATATCCAATTGGGAATAAGCATATGAAAGGGTTCTGCACACCATTTGGGAAATGCAAATTTAAACCAAAATGAGATACCACTGAATGCCCACTAGATTGGCTTAAATTTTTTAAACCAACCTTACAAAGCAGTGACAAAGATGTGGAACGACTATAACTCTCATGCTTTACCCACAGGAGTAGAAATTGGTGCAAGCACTTTGGATCAGCAGGTCTACAGAAATTAGTGTATATGTCCACTAAATGACATGTGTAGAATTTGTGTAGCAGCTTTATTAATAGTAGCTCAAAATTGGAAGTAATCTAAATATTTATCAACAGTAGAATAGATAAATTATATTTATAGTGTTCATACAATGGAACACTATATGTCAGTCAAAAAGAGAATTACTGCAACAACATAGATAAATTTCAAAAGTAACTGTTGGCTAAAAGAAGCTAAGGCAAAGAGTATACCAAATGATTCACTTATGTGGAGTTCAAAACAAGCATCATTAATCTATATTGAGAGAAATCAGGAAAATGGCGACCTCTTTGGGTGGATATTGATTGGGAGAAGTCGTTGAAGGGGTGCTGTAAATGTGTATCTTGACTCGGTGATAGTTAACACATGTATATAAATGTGTACATGTATTTTTTAATTAGCTGAAATCTTAAGGTTTTTGTAATTATTAGATATATATTATACTTAAAATTTTAAATTTAAAAATATGGTATATTAAATATTGAAACAAGTTGGACTATCATCAACATAAAAAGAATTGAGGTTTCATTAAAATATTTGTTGTATTAATGAGATTTTGTTTTAATGAAATTTTACTTTAATTTATATTTAGATATCATTTCATGGTTCACTGTTCACTTTCTCATGATATGTAACAGATGTGTCATTTGGGTATATTTCAAGACAAAGACTCTGGATTTTAACCTATAAATTATATAAATTGTTACCAAAATTAGCAGTTTCCTTATTTTTTTCAAGTTGTTGTGTTGAAAATCTCAATATCACATTGTTCATTTGTCTTTTAGGCTAAGACATCAAGCACACAAAGAATTTTATGCCTATAAACAGGTGAGAAATTTACTTCAACTTGATTTTGATAGTGTTTTATACCCAAAAAATGTGGACTCAGATTTGCAGTCTTTTTAAACTAGGACTTGTGTTCATTTTAATATTTTATTTGTCAGTTCTCAGTAAAAATAGATCAACTTTAAGAACTCTTCTTTTTAATTATAGAAAGTTCACCTGATGCAATAATATAGTTTAACAGGGAACTTAAGCTAACATTTTGCTAAAGAAAAATGCTGTAGCTTATAATACTTAAAGAATCCAGTTCATAGATTCACGCACATTGAAAGGAAATTAATTAAAAGAAATATTTTAATATCACTATTCACTCTTTCTCTATAATATAAGTCAGAGATGAAAGAAAATTAGTAAAATGTATATGAAAATGATATATAAATTGATTAATAAATAAATAACATCATGATATAACAACAAAGGCATAATAGCTGCTTTCTTTTAGCTTCAGAATGTCAACAAAAACAACCAAATTCATGATCAACAATGACAGATCAAAACACATATGTGTGATTGATGCCAGCAAGAGCTTTATATGTATCACACATGCTCAAGTCAACATTTATTTTTAAATTGCCAGTGCGCATCATATGTACCAGCCGGTTGGTTGGTCAGATGGACGTACAGTCGGTCACTTAACCTTTTATATATATAGATGAAATTCCATTAAATAATTTTTTTACCTCATTAAAAACAAACAACTTCCTTAGAGACGACAAGCTCTGTTCTAATGATTGCATATCCTTCCTTTTTGTACTTTAAATGTTAGCTAATGTCACACCCCTAGAAGTCTACTTGGATCATCTGGAAACCACTACCCTTTACTGATTGGTTCTTTAAAGTAATAAACTTAATAAACTTAGCTTTACTTGAAAGCAAAGTAAAATTTAGTTTTTCTTACATGTGTCATTCATTAACATTTTACCACAGACACCAAACAGTGGGCCTAGTTGTTCCTTTTCTTTTAAACTAAAGCATGAAATTATTTTGTTGTTCTTAGCTTTTTGGGGCGAGGTGGGGCAAGCTTCAGCTTATTTTGGTCTTTAACCTTTATGACATGATGTTACAGAACCATCACCAGTTTAGGATTACTTATCATTTTGTCCATCCTTTGTCTCTGAAATCTGAGCTCATGAGCAAGTTTCTTAGATGTCAACATTGATGTCATAGGTAACCCCACATTCTGCCCTATGTGTTTCATGTGGGATTCATACACAAACTGGAATGTTTTAGTTTTCTAAATAAATGAATCTTTTTTTTTCTCAGTATTTTCATGATCTTGACAACCTACAAGGTATTTGTATGAAAACACACACACACACACACACACACACACACACACACACACACACACACAAAAAGCTAACTAAAAAGTAAAATTGGCCCTAACCAATTTGGCTCAGTGGATAGAGCGTCGACCTGTGGACTGAAGGGTCCCGAGTTCGATTCTGGTCAAGGGCATGTACCTTGTGGGCACGTCCCCAATGGGGAGTGTATAGGAAGCAGCTGATTGATGTTTCTCTCTCATCAATGTTTCTAACTATCCCTCTCCCTTCCTCTCTGTAAAAAAATCAATAATATATATAATTTATACACACACACACACACACACACACACACACACACACACACACAATAAAATAAAATTGGCCTTACTGGTCATTTAAAAGGTGAAATTATCCGAAACCGGTTTGGCTCAATGGATAGAGCGTCGGCTTAGGGACTAAAGGGTCCCGGGTTCGATTCGGTCAAGGGCATGTACCTTGGTTGCGGGCATATCCCCAGTAGGGGGTGTGCAAGAGGCAGCTGATCGATGACTCTCATTGATGTTTCTAACTCTCTATCTCTCTCCCTTCCTCTCTGCACAAAATCAATAAAATATATTAGAAAAAATAAAATAAAATAAAATAAAAGGTGAAATTAGCCGAGACCGGTTGGATAGAGCGTCGGCTTGGGGACTAAAGGGTCCCAAGTTCAATTCCGGTCAAGGGCATGTACCTTGGTTGTGGGCATATCCCCAGTGGGGGGTGTGCAAGAGACAGCTGATCGATGACTCTCTCTCATCGATGTTTCTAACTCTCTATCTCTCTCCCTTCCTCTCTGCACAAAATCAACAAAATATATTAAAATAATATATATATTTTTTAATTAAATAAATAAATAAATAAATAAATAAATAAATAAAAGGTGAAATTAATTGATAGAACTATTAAAGTCAAGATATGGTAAAAATTATCCTTAAAAATACTGAATTTGAAATTTAACACATCTCTACATAGCTAGATGGTAGCTTTTGGTTGTGGTTTCTGAAAATGTGATTTGCCTTCAAAACTATTTTTGATTCAGGTATATGATACTCAAAATAGAGATTTTTCCCAAATTTCACTTGTCTGTTTTTTCACTTGAATATGACATATAATTCTAATAAGCTAAGTTTATTCTCAGAACTTTGCAATTTAAGCAGCAATTGGTCCTCTTATCATTTGGCATTCCTTTTAACTGATAACCAGTCACTATAAAGTCAGAAACAGAACCTGGATAAGTTTTAAGCCTATTTACATAACTCTAGTTAGAGATAAAGTTTTCTGAGCAAAGTGATGTATAATAATGAGCAAAACTTCTAAAATTAAGATTAATTTTACTTTTTAATCTTTAGTAATTATTAATTAATCCCTTCAGCCAGTGCTGTTTTACTGAACCATAAGGCAGTAAATTTCCTACTCCATGTTTGCACTTAGTCTATATGGGCATGTGTTAATGTCTTTTCCCAAAATTTAATCTATTGTCAAAGAGACTTTAAAGCTGCTTTCAAGAAAAATATTGCATCATTGTTCAATTTCAAAGAATGTTGATAAAATGTTCTATCTCAAACTGTAAAAGAAATTCTCTTCAATACTGAATAAGAGGGGAAATTAACTATATATACAAAAGAAAAATATTTTTAAGTATAATGAGAAATATGAGAAATTTTTTAAATCACAGACGTAAATGGGCATAAAAACATACTTTTTGTCTTACAGGTTATATTAAAAGAGAAAGTAAAAGAACTGAATTTGCATGAAGTAAGTTGCCTTATAAGTATTTTAGTCTTTTTTTGAGCTATTTTCTAATAGAGTGATAAGCTGTGATATGCTTAAAAATCTTTATTTTCAGAAGTTGAAAAAAATTAAGTTTATTTAGCCTGGTCAGAATAACTCAGTTGGTTGAGCATTGCCCTGTGCACCAAAATGTTGAAGGTTCCATTCCTGGACAGGGCACATACCCAGGTTGTGAGTTCCATCCCTAGTCAGGACATTTACAAAAGGCAGCCAATCATTGTTTCTCTCACATTGATGTTCTCTGTTTCTCGCTCTCTCCTGTCCTCTCTCTAAGTATGTCCTCAGGTGAAGATTTTTTTTAAAATTTGGTTTATTTTGTCTTAGCCAGTTTGGCTCAGTGAATAGAGCATTAGCCCTTGGGTTTTGGGTTCAATTCCAGCCAAGGGCATGTACCTCAGTTGCAGGCTCAATCTCCCGTCCGGGTTGGGGCCCAGGGTGCATGCAGGAGGCAATCAATTGATATCAATCTCTCTCACATCCATGTTTCTCTCTCTCTGGTTCCCTCCTCCCTTCCACTCTCTAAAAATCAGTGGAAATGCCAAAACCAGTTTGGCTCAGTGGAAAGAGCGTCAGCCTGCGGACTGGAAGGTCCCAGGTTCGATTCTGGTCAAGGGCATGTACCTTGGTTGCGGGCACATCCCCAGTGGGGGGTGTGCAGGAGGCAGCTGATCGATGATTCTCTCTCTTCGATGTTTCTGGCTCTCTATCCCTCTCTCTTCCTCTCTGTGAAAAATCAATAAAAATATAAAAATTAAAAATAAAAATCAGTGGAAAGCCCTAGTCAGTTTGGCTCAGTGACTAGAGCATCAAACTGCAGACCAAAGGGTCCCGGGTTCGATTCCGGTCAAGGGCACGCACTGGGCCCTGGCCCTGGTCGGGTTGTATGCAGGAGGCAGCCAATCCATGTGTTTCACATCAATATTTCTCTCTGTCTTCCCCTCTGTCTTCCCCTCTCTCTTAAAGTCAATGGAAAAATATCCTCAGATGAGGATTAACTAAATAAATAAAATTTGACTTATTTTGGTCAGTTTAATAGAATATTTGAGGATGAGGTCATAAAAATCAATTGTGTGAAGACTAAGATAATAACGTAACTCTTATGTTTAGTAGGGATGGTGCCCGTGTAAGATTGCATAGCAGCAGGAATGCTGCTTTCTGTCAGTGCACTATGAATAGGAGATAGATATGTTGGTTTTTCTACTCAAGGTGAATTTGCAATAATTTCACTCTTGAAAATGTTCCCAGTAGTTCCTTCTTACCAATGGCACAAAAAAGGCAATGTTATTTCTTGGAGTTTGAGATGTGGCAGAGTGGTGGAATAGGGAAGAACACACAGAGAGAGACATATTCTTGGGATTATCTCAAGTTGAGTTGCATGGTGGTTGGTCCATAGGTGTTCCCTATGTGATTATGCTTTGTAACTTAAATACAAAAGCGTGTGTGTGTGCCCTGATGTATACCTTAAGACACATAGTCTATAAGGATTCTAATTTTTCCTTGTGTTGCCTCTAATTAAAAATGCTCAGAATTTTTATTTTAGAGCCTTTTCTCTTTCTGAGTTTTGAGTTGGTGTTTAAAACAAGGACTTGGAAAGTTGCACGTGTAATATCTGTTTTCTTAGATTATCTGTGGTAAAGCCACATTGCCTATCTCTTCTTTAAAGACAGATTATAAAATTATTTGAATAATAATAAAAATGATTTCTATTATTGAACGCTTTGTAATCCTTTGCTCTTTCTGCATATTTTTCATTAGAAATTGATGTGTAACAGCATTTTAGACCTAACCTTGAATTAAATTCAAACATCAATTACTGTTTGATTTTTTTAAATTTCCCAAAAGTTAACTTTGGCACATGGCCAGAATTAACATGCAGTAATAGCAGGTGATCCCTTTTCTACTTAGGGTCTCTTTGATGGCCACAAATTAAAAGATTAAATCCTGACATCCATTAGCAACATTGAATAACCAGGTTTGACAGGAATAGAAGTCTTCCTTATTGGTCTAACCCATCAGTTTAGAGTCTTTATTTTAAGCGCATTGTGTTGCAGTTCATACTCCAGCTGTACCCACCAATTTCAATTCTGCTCCGTCTGACCTTGCTACTGAGCTACCCTTCCCCTGCTATTTAAAACTAAAGCTTGGAAAACCTAACCTTGCTCTACAGCTTGTGTTTAGAGGCATTATGTGTTTTTCACAATTCATCTGGTTCTTTCCAACTGCATTTTTTGGTAATGAAACTATTTTTTTATCAAACGTGTGTGTGTGTGTGTGTGTGTGTGTGTGTGTGTGTGTGTAGCCTAATTATACAGTGATCTCAGTATGAATACTGTTATTGAATAATTATTATAGTGAAAAATCAGAGACAAGCTAAGTGTCCATCAGTAGCATAATGAATAAATAAAACATGATACGCTGGAAGATCATCCACTAAGAGAGGGAGAGACCTGTTGGGGGTGACCAGGCCTTCAGGGGAGGACAGTTAGGGGCAACCAGGCTGGCAGGGGAGGGCAGTTAGGGAAGAACAGGCTGGCAAGGGAGGGAGTTAGGGATGACTGGCCAGCAGAGGAGGGCAGTTGGGGGGCGACCAGGCCTGCGGGGGAGGGCAGTTAAGGGTGACCAGGCCAGCAGAGGAGCAGTTAGGCGTCGATCAGGCTGGCAGGGGAGTGGTTAGGGGGTGATCAGGCTGGCAGGCTGAAGCGGTTAGGGGCAATCAGGCAGGTAAGCAGGCGAGCAGTTGGGAGCGAGCAGTCCTGGATTGTGAGAGGGATGTCCCAGATTGGAGAGGATGCAGGCTGGGCTGAGGGACACACACACACACACACACACACACACACACCCATGCACGAATTTCGTGCACCAGGCATCTAGTCTACACTAATAAAAGAGTAACATGCTAATTGGCCATACCTTCATGACGCCCACCAGCCAATCAGGAGTGTGTATGCAAATTAACCCAACAAAGATGGTGGGTTAGTTTGCATACACATGCACTGAGTGGCTGGGGGAGTCAACTTGGATAGCAAAAAGAGAAACAGGTGATTGAGTCCATGAAAGATTGCAAGCAGGTGGGGCTGAGCTGCAGTTCACATTGGGAAGCCAGGCCATCAGCCCAAATTCCACTGCTTCCCAGGGAGGCTACCCTCGGACACTCACCCCATTTCTCTGAGCCTCATTCGGCATCCCCAGCGAGGCCGTGGAAGCTCCGCCCTAAGGACACACTTCTCCATAGCTGGGTGCGGCAGACCAGGAGCTGCAAGGGGCAGCAATGAAAGACGGGGGCAGATGCTCAGCTGACCAGGATGAGTGGGCCTCGGATGAGCAGGCCTCGGATGAGCAGGAGCGCCTCCTCCCCAGCCCCTACCACTTTGCACACTACTACATCCCTCGGGGGAATGTTGGATGCTGGTTTCAGCCCGATCCCTGCAGGCCACTCTGAGAGACCCCACCATGCACCAGGCCTCTAGTGATAATACATTGTCCTTCTATAAAGAAAAATATCCTCTCTTAAAACTCAGTTTACCCTTTTTTTCCTTCCTCCACCTTTTAACAGAAATATATAGAGGAACACTATATCTATATTTAAAAAAAAACATGTTTCTAGTTTCTAGTTCTAACCATGCTAGTGAGATAATAAATGGCATCTAATGGATCTTGGGATCAAGAGAAACAGGTGCCATGGAAGCTATGACACACTGGGAATGCAGGTCCTGTGTTGAGGGGTTGCTAACACTCAATTCTGGCTAATTGTCGCCATGGGGAAGATAGTTGTTGTCAGATCTAGGGCTTTTCAGGTAAAACCTGAGAGTCTTGGCATTAGTCTATCATCTGCTTTCCATTTGCACTTATTCTTTAATTTGTTCACCACAATGTCCCCTGTTCTGGCCGTGATGAGAGGTTGTTTCTACATTAAATTTATTTTGCATCTTTGTCAAAAATCAGATGGCCATATTTCTGTGAGTCTGTTTCTGGATTCTCTAGTCTGTTCCATTGATTTATTATCTATCTCTTTAGCCTTAATTACTGTAGTTTTATAGTAAGTCTTAAAATCAATTCCTTCAACTTTATTTTTCTTTTCCAATACTGTTTTAGCTAGTCTAGTTTCTTTGCTCTTCCAAGTAAATATTAGCATCAGCTTGCCTATATCTTAAAAAATCATGCTGGGATTTTGGTTAGTATTGCATTAAATCTATAAATCATTTGGGGAGAAATTGGCATCTTTAACTGTGTCAAGTCTTCTAATTTATAAATATATGTCTTCTCATTTCTTTCTTTTTATTTTATCCTTATTGTTGAAAGTGTTGTAGATGTTCCCTTTTTTCCTTTATTATCTTCTTATAACCCATACCTGCCCCCCACCCCAACCCTTCACCCTTCATCTGTGTCCATGGGTTATGCATATATACATACAAGTTCTTCGGTTGATCTCTTCCCACCCGCCCACCCACCTCCTCCTTCCCTCTGAGATTTGATAGTCTGTTCCATGCTTCTATGTCTCTGAATCTATTTTGTTCAGCAGTTTATTTTGTTCACTAGATTCCATATATGATTGAGAGCATGTGATATCTGTCTTTCTCTGTCTGGCTTATTTCACTTAGCATAATACTTTCCAGGCCCCTCCATGCTGTCTCAAAAGGTAAGAGACTCTTCTTTTTTTTCTGCTGCATAATATTTCCTGGTGTAAATGTACCACAGCTTTTTTATATGGAGTTCCATTGTTAGATCCATACACATTTTGGATTTTTATGTCTTCTTGGCAATTGACTCTTTATCAAAATGTAATATCCCTTACCCTGGCCAGTGTGGCTCACTTGGTTGGAGTGTTGTCCCATGTACCAAAGGATCTTGGATTCGATTCCCGGTCAGGATACATACGCAGGCTGTGGGTCTGATCCCCAGTCAGGGCCAATGTGGGAGGCAACTGATCAATGTTTCTCTCTCACATTGATGGTTTTTTTCTCTTTTCTTCTCCCTTCCTTTCTCTTTAGAATCAATGAAAATCAAACCCTTGGGTGAGGATTTTTTTTTTTAAGTAATATCCTATATAATAAAACCCTAACATGCAAATTGACCGACCAGCAGGATGACCGGCCACTATGACATGCATTGATCACCAGGGGGCAGATGCTCAATGCAGGAGCTGCCCCCTGGTAGTCAGTACGCTTCCACAAGGGGAATGCTGCTCAGTCAGAAGCCTGGCTGACCGCTGGTGAGCACAGCGGCAGTGGCAGGAGCCTCCATGGCAGGCAGGCAGGAAGGAGTGGGCCTAACGACAGGGGGACATAGCCCGAGGGGTCTTGAACTGCAAGAAGGCGCAGGCCAAGCTGAGGGATCCCCCCTCCTGCCCCCATCCAGTGCACTAATTTTGTGCACCCCGGGGCTCTAGTATAATTTTATTTGAGTTTTCTTATATGCAGCACATTGTTGAGAAATGTTTTTTTTATCTACTCTGCAAATCTGTCTTTTAATCAGTGTGTGTAGAGCATTTACATTCAGTGCAATTGTTGATATATTTGGAATTAGATCTACCATTTTATTTTGTCTTCCACTTTCCCCCCTCTTTATTTCTTTATTTTCCTTTTCCTGCCTTCTTTTCAGTTATTTGAACATTTTTAGTATTCTACTTTATCTGTTGTGATTTGGACTATTTTTTGTATAAAAAGTGATTGCTTAGAGATTACAAAAAGAATCAGTATTTTCACACTTCAATTGGAATGTAGAAATCTTATGTCCATATAAATCCTTTTATGTTTTCCCCTTTATATAATAGCTGTCAAAGCACATTGATATACATTGGAAATCCCATCAGACATTGTTATATATTTTTACTTCTAACCATTAGATATATTTTAGAGAATTTAAGACAGGAAGAATAGTCTATTATGTTTATCTAGATAATTATCATTTCCATTGCTCTTCATTCCCAGCATTCCAAGTTTACTTCCTTTGTCATATTTCTTCTGTCCAATGACCTTCCTTTACCAATTCTTATAGAGCAGATCTGCTGGCTATGAAATCTATTAGTTTGCCTTCATCTGAGAATATCTTTATTTTATATCTTCATTCCTGAAGGTTGTTTTTGTTGGATATATATAGGACTCTGGGTTGACAGTTCTTTTCTCTCATCACTTTTTAAATGTTGTGCCATTTTCTTCTGTTTTTTTTTATTTTTATTTTTTTATGGTTTTCTGATAAAACCCACAGGGAAAAATATTTGCCAATCTTATGCCTGATAAGAGTCTAGTATTCAGAATATATAACTTTTACAGCTCAGTAATAATAAAGGCCTACAAAATAAAATATCTGCAAATAATTATCCCAATCTTTTATCTAAAGAGATCTTTTGCAAAACAAAAGTTTTAATTTGATGAAGTCAAATTTGTCAGGTTTTTTTTTTTTCTTTTGATTGCCTATGCTTTAGGGGGTCACATCATGCTCTGTGCCTATGGATGTCCAGTTGCTCCGGCACCTTATTGGGTAAAGTTTACTTGCAAAGTGTGATCTTTAAAGTTGTAAAATGCGGCCCAGGCAAGTGTGTCTCAGATGATTAAGCATTATCACATACACCAAAAGGTCATCATTTTTATTCCCAGTCAGGACACATGCCTAATCAGAGTACATACAAAAGGCAACTGGATTCTCTCTCACTTTGATGTTTCTTTCTCTCTCTCCCTCCCCCTTACTTTTTTTCTCTCTAAAACTCAATTAAAATATATATTTTTTAAAGTTGTAAAATTAGTTTGACCTTCAGGGTGCTTCTAAGAAGTCAGATCCAAGCCTTTTCTCTTTGTGATTGTCCTTGACTTTTGTTCCCTTTAGCAGTTAACGTGTCAGAATTTATCTTGTGGGTTTTTTTCAGGTGACTGTGGTTTTAGAATTAGGGATCCTGGAAAAATAAGCAAATAAAAATGAGTGGCTTGTCAACTTCTTGTCCTTTGGTAGGATCAGTGCTGGGTCAGAGCCAGCAGAGTCCTGACCGTGTTTGAGAAGGCTGTGGCAGAGGAAGCTCAGTGGTTAGGGCCACAGGGCCCATTCACCCAGCTAGGAGATGGGAACATCATTCCGCCTTTACAGGTGGGAAGCTGAGGTCACTTCAAAGCTGGAGCAGCTAGTGTCTCATCTTTACCAACAGCATGTTCTCAGACTTCCGCCAGGATAAAATGGGCTTGAAAATAGTGCTCCCATTGCAACATTGGGTAAAAGCTACTGATATTGGCAGACTGCCGTCCCGCCTCCTCAGCCCGATCCCACCATCCTGGGCTGGTAACAGCCCTCTGAAGGAGGTGGGGCAGGTGGTGTCCTCACGTTACATAGATGAAGGAACAGAGCTTGAGAGGCATCCGAATGCAGAGATCACACAGCTAGTGGGTGTCCAAGCCAAGGCCAGCGGTCTGTCCTGCCTTCCTCCCTGCTCTCCTGCTGTCCTGGCAGTATTTCCAAGACTGACAAGATATTCTTTCTCCTCTTCCTAAAGATCCTGTCTGCTATATACACAAGTCCCTAAGGGAAGAGTGTTGGAAGGCCAGCATTCATGGCACTGGCCATGGGGCACCGAGAGCCACATGTCCTGTCACATAACCTAAGAAGATTGGGTTACATGTCATAGGTTATAAACAAGTGAGAGAGAGGCCATGTCATCAGTCTGGGCAGAAATGTTAACAGTTGAGCCAGGATCCCTGGAGATGGACAGGGAAGCAAGAGGGAAGGAATACAGCACATCAGTGCAGGAGACCTTTGCCCCAGCCCAGCCACACTCACCGACTGCATGTCCTCAGGAAACATGTGATTGCTCTGAGCTTGTTTCATCTGTAAAGTGGGTAAAAGTGCTGATGGTTGGTGTCCCTGCACACTGGTAAGTGCCCAAGAAGTGGTGGCTGAACCCCCCAGCATGTGGGTGTGAAGGAAAAGCCCGTTCAAAGCTGCGGACCCTGGCCGCCTGTCAGCAGTCCTGGCCCTTCTGCACATTTTCTCAAGTCTAATTCAGAGACTCTCGAATAATTTTTTTTAATGTTTTTATTGATTTCAGAGAGAGGAAGGGAGAGGGAGGAAGGGGTAGAAACATCAATGATGAGACTTATCTATCAGCTGCCTCCTGCACTCCCCTTACTGGAAATTGAGCCTGCAACCCAGGCATTGCACTGATCAGGAATCCAACTGAGACCTCCTGGTTTATGGACAATGCTCACACACTGAGCCACACCAGCCGGGCTTATCATTTTACATGACAGAGACAGATACTGAAAGAAGGGCAGTGCCAGAGGGAGGGCCTGTTACCAGAGAAAGGAGAGTGCCAGGGCCCACCCTGGGTCATGAGCAGTCCCTGTCAGAGCCATGCAGCTGAGCAGGCAGAGCACCTCTGCAGAAAGCCAGCCCCCGGCACACCACAGGCGAATTCCATCATGTGCAGCCTTGCTAGTGAGGACTAACCTAAGTCAGACCCTTCCGACGCACTAACGCAAACTGCCTTTTGCTGGCTTTCTTCTCCCACCTGCTCTTCATCTTTGAAGACATGTCACAAGAAGAGAGAAGGTTCCTCTTCAGAAGACCTTGCCCAGTCGAGCCTCTTTCTTTCGCTTAAACTGTGGGACATTACAAACCCCTTCAAACAACTGGGCCTCGGGGCCTGCACTTTACTCTGTGACCTGGGACAGTGCTTAGCAGACACTTTTCCTCATCTGTGAATTTATCTTTCAGCTCTGTGCAGTGTGTCTAGAAGACTTCAAGCCTCGAGATGAGTTGGGGATTTGTCCGTGTAAGCATGCCTTCCACAGAAAGTAAGTGTTGGTATGAACTATTTAAGGGAACCTGAGTTTGAGGCACATCAACCAACTTGTGGGCTTGGAACAGTGCCAGACAAGCTTGAAGGCTTCATGATTGGTCTGCAATGCAGAAAGCACCCCGGGGGGGGGGGGGGGAGTAGGAGGGTGTTCGTGGGACATGAGCACCATGGCAGGACTTTGGGCAGAATGCCAGACAAACCCACACCTCCTGGGAGTCAGACTATAAAACCACTACTTAATGGAACGTTCCAATGAGAGCTCCCACTTCAAAAATCTTACGTTAATCAAAACGTAGTTATTTTAAAGCAAGATAGATGAGTCTGAATGTAAATGGTAGTGTGGGGCTCTCTCCTCCCTCTTCTTGCAAACATATTCATATTCCCTCTTCCCTTGCAATTTTGTACATTTTGCATGTCTGTTAGAAAATTTTCTCTCTCCTGCTTTGCACCACCCTCACTGTACTTCCTTAGGAAACCACGGTGACTGAGGGAGCAGCATGCTTGGAGCTCTGGCTCCTCCAGAGGGTAAAGTGGGTCCTCCACTGAGGGTGGAGCTCGTTAGGACCTGGCTGTTCTGGGCGACAGATGTGTTCAACATGCAAAATGTGTGGGTGGGTGGGTGGGTGGGTGGGTGAGTGGGCTGATGTACCGTGAGCACGGCACTGATGTCTTCCCTCCTGTGGTGTCTCATTTTGCAGGTGCCTTATTAAGTGGCTGGAGGTTCGGAAAGTGTGTCCACTGTGCAACATGCCGGTCCTGCAGCTGGCCCAGTTGCACAGTAAGCAGGACCGTGGACCCCCACAGGGGCCCCTGCCAGGGGCAGAGAACATTGTATAGCTCACCACAGGATCAAACTGTTGCAGGATTCCACGTCCATATAGAGGCAAGAGGAACACGAGTGTTCTCTGTGTTGGCTGTTCTACCTGGGGTACCAGCTGCCACTTCCTTTGCCTCATGAAAAACTCTTGGGCCAACGAGGCTAAGAACTCAGACTTCTGGGTTATGTGACAACCAAAGCTGACAGCACCTTATGTCAAGAGAAAAGTTAAATGAGCCTGCGGGTTTGGTTCAGGAAACTTCATGAGAGTCTCTTGCCAACTCAATTCCATGCTGTCTCCCAGACACTTATCTCCATGCACGGTGACTTTTGTCAAGCAGAAGGGAAGATAAACACAAGTGCTAGAGAAAGGAACTGAGGGCAGGTCTTTAAAGCCACCGACGCCCCTGCCCTGTGGACAGATGAGCTCCTATGCCGCCTGTGCATGCCTTAGCAGCAGCAAACCTTCCCGGCAGCCCCTGAGCCAAGTAAAACCAGCGGTTACCTCAGCCAAAGCACGACCGGTTGCCTGGTTGGTGAGACAGTGCCAACAAAGGCTCTTCACCTTCTATTCCTTTGATAAAATCATCTTGGAACCCAAGGGCTTTGGTTACCGTGCCCCTCACTATCACTTCTCCCTCAGTTTTACATCTATCTGCGTATCAAGTCACCTAAGCTGAAAACATTAGATGCGCTTGGAAAGGCCTGGTCAGAAGCCATTTCCTCTTATTCCACATCCACCTCACTAGGGAGGCATAGCCAAGCTGCCCATCAGGGGCCCCAGTGGGCCTGGGCCTGGGCCTGGGCCGGGCCTCCGAGCCCTTGCTGTCCGTGTGCGCCCCGGGGGCCTCGGAGTGCTGCCCACATTCCCCCTTTCGAAGTGTGGTTCCAGCATAGCTGCTGGCCTTGGCCCACGGTCTTTGGGAGGGAGCCACTGAGAGCCCTCAGACAGCGGAGAATGGCTAGTCCTCCTGGCCCTGCTGAGACAGAAGGGTGCTGGCCCCCGTTCCTCTCCCCTCCTCGCCCTCTCTCTTTCTACTTCAGAGAAAATGCTGGCATTGACTTTTTAACAACTTAAAACATCCCAAACAAGAAACCTCTGTAATTCTTTAGCCAGGGACCCACTTGAAATTGTAAATAGTTTCAGGAAGCTCCTACAGGGCTGTTCCCTCATTGGTGTGTGCCTCAGTATTCGGGCTTGCAAAAAATAATTGCAAGTGTCTTTACAGGAGAGAAATGCATGCTTTTCTTTGGCTCTTTCTGTCCAACTTTTCTAGAAGTGACTCAGAATCCTTTAGATTCATGAATATTGTATAAATTAGCTGAGAACTTTGTAGTTCTTTTCCACAGCTCTGTTCTCCATCTCCTTCCATTCTAGGGATGGGTACCTTGTCAGCTTGCCTCTGCTCCCTCACAGGTGTGAGGGGGGCGGTTTCTCTCTGGAGATGCTGCCTGCATGGTATGGAGAGAGGATGAAGTTTTGCAATTCCGATGATGGCATTTATCCAAGAACTTTCTCTGGAATCCAGCCTCTACCGCTTTAGAACGGGAAAGGGAACCTACCCTTGGCTCAGGTAGCTGCAGTCAAAGGATGGGGAAAATTCCTATTAGCCTCGCGAAGTGCTGGGCAGAATCCAGTTTGGAAAATTACAACTCCACTTGGTCAGAAGTGGCTGTTTCCTGTGTGGCCTAGTGTATGGTATTCCTATGTATGCCAACCGGAATGTTTCCTAAACAGGGCAAGGGAAGTGTGGAATATTTTTATATGAAAGCCTTAGCCTGTTTGGCACCCATGAAAAGAACTATTTGGACTTTTCACCCTCTGTTTCTGTGTTCTCTCTGTCTAGCACAATAGAGTTGAATGCTGCAAAGCACCCAGTTTACAGTGAAATATTGTTAGTGACCAAGTAGGCTTGCTTCTGGACTAGCCTCACTAATGACCATCAACCCACCATTTCCCCTGGAATGGCATTGGGATAAATGTCATCTTGTTGTGGACCTCAAATAAGAGTGTTTCTTTCCCCTCAGAGGAGGAATGCTTGTGCTCTGTGCTGCAGATTTCTTCCACTCCGGTTTTGTAGGATGATAGCCTTCCAGTTGCAGCTTTTTTCTGTCCTTGTCACAAGGAGACAGCTTCACCATGTCCCTGTATTGACAGGGAGGCTAATTTCTTTCCCTGTGTCACAGCCGAACGCAGAGGGCACGGGTACGCACTGGGCCGGAGGTGCAAAGCCAAACCGTTTAGAGGAAAGCTTGAGAGGCCTGCACTCTCCACTTGGCACCATAGTGGGTCTGCTTTGTCCCAGGAGGTGCCACTAATACGATCTCAACACTTGTGGATGTGGGGGAGGCTTTTAAAATGCAGCATTTCCACCAAGATGAGGCTGGCTGAGTGCCGAGTGCCCGCTCTACCCAGTCTTCTCCCCTCTCTTGGTGTGGCGTCCTTTTGCAGCATAGCCACTGTCGCTTGGCAGTTAGCAACACAACCTGAATGCATTTGCCGCCCACACTGGGTCCTCCTCCAGCACTTCCCTGTACTGCACTGGTAGCTGCATGCAGCTAGCGGCTGTTCCAGCATTGTGTGACAAAGGTAAACTTCCATCCAGACTTTTTTTTTTTTTTTTTTTTTTAAGAATGAGTCGAGGATCCCTTAATATACTTGGTTCAGGCTCACACCTCACAGTGAGGCTGCTGTCCACACTTGTCTAAGTGGGTGACCTTTTGATAATCTATAGACACGTGGGGACTCTGATCTGCTTTTAGACCCCTGGCTAGTAACATGGGTTTTTTTTGTTTGTTTTACTTAAGCAGCTCGAAGATTGGCCATTACTTATGTGCCATGGATTAGTGGAATAGAATTCAGCCCAGACTTCAGCTGGTTTTAGAAATGGAACAAAACCAGCCTGACTTGGTTCTTGGTTATCTTTACCTCGACACTGTGATTGGGTTACGCCTGTTCCTGGGAGGGAGTAGGTCAAGACAGATTGGAACAGGTGGCCCATGGATGAGGGTGTCTGGGCTGAGATACCCGGGGCCTCCCACCATTTCATATAGCCAGTTCTTCACAAACAATTCTTTTCCCAATGCCACGCCCCTTGTCCTAACCTCAGGCCCTTTCCAACAGCCCCAAAGTCTGTCATCTCCATGGCTGATCCCACTGTTAAGCCATTCTTTTTTTTTTTTTTTTTTTTTTTTTTTTTTTTTTTTTTTACAGAGAGGGATAGAGAGCTAGAAACATTAATGAGAGAGAAACATCGATCACCTGCCTCCTGCACACCCTCTACTGGGGATGTGCCAAGGTACATGCTCCTGACCGGAATCAACCCTGGGACTCGAGTCTACAGGCCGACGCTCTATCCACTGAGCCAACCTGGTTAGGGCTAAGCTATTCTTAATGACTACAGAAATTACTGGGAGGCATCCCCAGAGCTCTGGAAAGTGATCAGACTGATTTGAAGCATCTTTTCACTCACCAGCCAGGTGCCTTTCTGCCAGTTATCTTATCCATCACCCAGGGTGTAATGGCATCTGCTGGCTCTTGCAAGGATTAGCTGTGTCCAGAGCCTAGCAGGTGACGGATGTCATGAGGGGCAATGTTTGTCACGCAGGTTACGTGGGGCTCCCTTCCTCTTCCCCTCACCTCCATCTGCCTAGTGCTCCCCGATTTGTTGCTCACTGTTGGATATGTTTAAATTTAACTCTGAAATCAGTCTCTCTTGTATCCCTGACCTCCAGCAAGCCCAGCTTCTCACCCCTTGAGCACCTAGTTTTGTTCCTTATGTAGCCTCCCAGAGGTCATGTGTGTATATACAAGTACACACAGTGTATGTGTGTGTGTGTTGGGGAGGGGTGTTCTCCTTTGCTCATGTGATACTATATTCAGGAACATTCCTATTCATATGGAAGAGCTGTACCAGAAGTCAGAATATCTGTAAAAGGTGAACCAAGAACGGGGGATGATCCTTTTACAATCACATTCCTTTTAAAAATGGCATTTTTTTTATTGATTGCCGCACACTGGAATTTTCTATACAAATCAGAAACTGCAGTCCCTCCTTGACTCGTACCACAGACATCCAGATGACAGGAGCACAGATAGTTTCCACACTTTCTGATCTGTGACAGGACATAAGAGCTGTAGCAGCGCAGGCCCAGCAATTTTGCAGCAGCCGCCTGGGCAGGCTGCCCCACACCATCTTGGCCACTTACAAGGGAACCCGGAGTGCAGCAGCGATGTCTGTTAGCTCTCACTTTCTTAGGCGAACACCCATTTTGGGGGCAGGAGTTCAAGCAGCAGCAGAAACTGAAGGCTGAGGCACCTTTCTATCTTGAGGCAAATGTCTCAGATGGTGCTGAACAAGTAGGTGGTCAATCTTAGTCAATCAAAGATGTTCAGGTACATGGGTCAGGCTCCTTTTCCTCCTTCCTCTAAAAAATGCTTCCCTGAGTTTTCTAGCCCAATACTTTCCACTCAATGACATTACCCCACCAGTAACCTTTTCTTTAAAAAATGTTAAGTTCCTTTTTGCCCATAGAAAATATGGACATTGAAGCCACTTCCTTTAGGCAGCCATGGGTCCTCACCCACCTCCCCAGTGTCCTGCCACCGAGTTTCCCAGGATTCAAAGTGCTTTGGGCCCCTGACCGGAAACTTGAAAAGGAATTGCCGAGAACCTGGGAACCTCCACCCTTCTGTCATGTGATGAATCTCTGGCCCTGGGCTAGTGTCTTTCATGTTAGCTGTTAAGAATTTGCGTAAAGGACATGTCTAAATTAACTGTATAAGTTTAGGTGAAATTTGCAGTTGATAAGTGCAACATGCTGGGCCATGGTTTTTTTAAGTAGATTAAGACTAATGTGCTTCCATTTGAGAGTAGCAAGAACATAGAATGACTTGGTCAGTTTTCCAGTTGTTTAGAGCCCACAATTAGTTTTCTCCATTTTAGACCAAACATCAGCATTCTTTGCTTACCAATCCAGGGCTCACTTCCGTGGCTATAGGGACAAGAAGAGCAACCTGCCCACTCTGGGGGCATGTGCTCAGAAAGGGAGCCCTGCCACTATCAAGGGATTTGTCTGTACTTTGATGTAGCTCCCTGTGCCAGGACAAGCCTGGTGGATCAGCGCCTTGGGCCAGCTGCACACCATCCCTGTCTGCTCCTTCCCTCCCAGGTTCCGACAGAAAGGCAGATGGGACCAGTGTTAAGAAGTCCCTCCTGATGACACCATCTTCCAAGATAGTGTTCCTGACTATTGTCATCTGATAACAGATCACTGCCAGGAAGGAAGGTAGTTTAGGCATGTAGTATAGCCCATTGAGGTTCACTCACTAGGTATTATGTAACTCCCTCAATAAAAGGTTTATGAAATGCTGAGCCTCAGGTTTCATAGACGTGTTTGTACACTAAGAATTCTGCAGCAGAATATTTTTAAACATTCGCAGTTTTTTGTAAGCTATATTTTTGTATATTTAATTGCTATTTTAAAGTTTTAATGCATTTTTTTGCTAATTACTCTTGTTTAAAAAATAAAACATGCATGTAATTGACTTAAATGTAAATAAAGAGCAAATTTTGAAACCTACTTAATGTTTATCATGTACCCACTTATGGACACTCACGCCCCACTTAAGCTTGTGTAGCAAGAGTGGGAAAGGTGAGTAGGGAACAGCGGAAGGTGACAGTGATGAAGGAGCTTCTGGTCTGTCCCCCCACGGTGTGGAGTGAAGGTCAGAGGTGACGAGTCAAGCACTAGGCCACAAGGAAGAAAGCAGAGAAGCCAAGGCCTCACCTGCCACAGGCCTCAGCTAGTTTCCGAAATATAGGTAGTTTCTGAAATACTGGCACTAGTCTTGGGAGTAAAGTGTCAGAACTAGGCCATTCCTCACACCTCTCACGAACCCCAGACCTGCTTCTATTAGGAAAAGGAAAAAAAAATCTCTTGGTCCAAAGTTCCCTGTGGTAGCTGCCATTTCTCCTCACCAACCCTCACTAGGACTTCTGCAGATCAATCGGCTTCTGCCCCATAGCTTTAGGGAAACTGTTCCCCTCAAGGCCATCTCTGGGGCTCCTCTTAATCCTCAATGCAGGTGTCTAGATGGCTCCTCTCCCGTCTCCTGAGCAACAGACCCCTAGCAGTGCCCTCTGACCCCGCTTCAGTTTTCTTTGCAGCCTTTACTTTCTTTGCCCATCAACTGTTATTCTCACTCTATCCTGTTATTTACTGAATTCCCACCTACAGTTTGCCCACCTACATCCACTATCATTCTTAGGGATGTTATCTACAACCCAAATATCCAGGTGCTATTTGGTATCAATTGCAGCTCAAAACCAAGCCTCCTCAATAACAACAAGTGTATGCCCTCATAGAAACTTCCTCCCCCATATCCTTCATCACATCCCAATACTCAACCCTCTAACCATCCATCTGTCCCCACCGGGCCATCTGCTGCCATTTCGTGTAGGCCTCTAGTGTGGAGTGGGGCCCTCAGGCTGCCCTCTGGAGGGCAGATTGCGAAGGACACTGCCGAGATAAGATGGCAGTGGTTTAAAGTAGGGTGGTGGCAATGGTGAGTGGAGATTGAGTTTATGTGCACCTCAAGCTGGAAGGAGTGAAGACCATCGGAGGGGGTGGTTTCAGGGGAAAGGGTGTGGATACTTCTGTGCAGAGATGGCCTTGGAGATAGACAAGTAGAATGAAGGGAAGGCAGTTACTGCCTTAGAACTGGAGCTCAGAGGAGGTGCTGGGCACGGTAGATTGGAAGTCAGAGACACAGTGAGTGCTGAGGACTGCTTAGGGGAATCAGGACTGTGCCTGAAGCCGGCAGTGTCAAACTGTTGTTCTCAAGTTGGCAGAGACAAAGGGGCCTGAAAGGCAGAAGGAAAAGCAAGAAATGCACTGTGTTAGAACTGAGGAAAATAAGGGCATAAAATGTCTGATAGATTTAGTAACAAGACTCAATGGAACTCTCAAGAGCCTTCTCATGGTGTGCCAGTGTGAGCTAAGAACCACCCACAAAGTGAGTGGCAACTGGGCTCTCTGAGGTAGAAGGCACATGCAAAAAAGGAGAGGGGACTCTGCCTGGGTGACCTTAGGCGGGTTTGCTTTTCTGCTGAATTGTGGAGATCACAACAGCTGCATGAAACAACCCATGTAAAGCACTGGCACAGCCTCTAAAACACAGGCGGGCCCCACAGCACAGGAAGTGGGGCCTGGGTCTCCACTAGAAATGGCTGGAGCTCCCTCCCCTTCTCCACCTTCTCCGCCCAAGTAAGCAGAGGCAGTTTGGACAAGAGGGGCCCGAGAAACACGACTATGGTACCAGCGAAACAGTGGTAGCACTGTCGTTGGTGGCTGTGAGGGAAAAGTGGAGCCACCAAGTGGGTATCTGGAAGCGACAGGACAGGTTGAGGGGTTAGGAGTAGGGACTCAGGAAGTGCTACATGGGACAGCAGAGGAAGACCCAAACGCCACCCAAGGGCTACAATTTCTACGCCCTGCAGTGTCCCTCCAGCTCTGCGGCCTGCCATCAGGAGGCAGCACCCACAACCCACGGGTGACAGAACCTTGCGCAAGTGGCCAGCATCGGAGAAATGATCATGCCCTCACAAACCATGGGCACGGGCCTCTGCTGCCCCCACGCGGCCAACACGGGAGGCCGCAGGATCCCAGTCGACCAGGGAGGAGCACCAGCCCAAGCAACTCCTCCCTCAATGACCCAGCCCCCGCCCTCTGCACCCTTTCCTTCGAACTTTCCCTCCCAGAATCCTCCCAGGCCAGCTTCCTGGCCCCAGAGCCTTGGAGTTTCTAGTTCAAAGCCATTTATACAGACCTTTACTGCCTTCAACAGCGATGCAGGTACCAAATAAGACACAAAATAAGACACAGACATAGTTCAATCTCTAAGGGGAAGGTTTTTAAAAATTATTCTGCACAGCAGAAAGAAAAGGTCCAGTCAATCTATATCAATACTCAGCTCTCAAAACCTATCTCTCAAGCAGCCTTTTGAGCCAGCCTACCAGAGAAATCAGGACTGCGCCTGGGGGCTGCTAAGTGCCAAGACCAGTAGTAGTGGGTGAGAAAGGTGGGAAGAACCCCAACTGCACCCATAAATTAATGGACACCTCAATTCCTTGATTTCTACTAGCCTAAAAGTGTAACCAGATTCTCTCCCCAGTTCCCTGGGGAAGAAAAAAAAAAAAGTCCTTTTTGTCTAGTTTTAGTTTTCCAAATTATATCTTTTGTAGTAGCTTACTTCCATCAGCCCAACACTCAAGATAATTCTGTCCACAGAAGAAATCCTGTCTTTCCAAAGAGACCTTCCTAGAATTTATAGTGAAAAGTAACCTATGATTGTCCTTCTAAAAGTTCTTAATTATCCAAGTTACAGGTACTGAACTAACTTGCCCAATTAAGATTGCAGAACCTTGAAATAAAACATTTTTCAGTATGTTCACACAAAGGCTAAATGCACACTGGAGTTAATGTACAGGAGATGATCTCCAAGGCCATACTGTCAAAATTCTGATTAGATTATATAACACATAGTAGCTTTCCTTACATTTAACAAGTTCAACAGGATCTAAAACACAGTATGCTGAACACAGAACAGCTCTCCCCTTGAGTGGCTCGCGAGTGACAATGAGTTTCAAAAATATATAGCAGGTATTACAGCCGATCCTCACTGCCATGAACATGGTCCACTGTGTGTGTGTGTGTGTGTGTGTGTGTGTGTGTATTTATATATATATATATATATACACACACATATACATATATATCATTCCTTACTGGTTACTAGTTTAGGCTGAATTTTTAAGGGTTTGTCTTGATGACTTAAAAAAAATCCATTTGTCCTTTCTTGCTTTGATTCAGGTAATACACAATCAGAAAATTAAGTAAGTCTCTTGAAAAAAAAGAAAAGTTCACAGATCCCATAGCGGAAGGTTCCAGGAACCCCCTCCTCAGGTAATGATCAGGGGATCTTCAACAGCTCAAGAAGTGCTCCAACGGCTCCAAAATAACCCTGAAGAAAAAAACACACACACACAAAAAATGAGCAATTCTCCTTAGAATCATTTAAATTACCATAAATACGATTACTGGTGGTAAAACCAACACTGCCCTTAATTCCTGACACTCGTTTTCTGAGCACCTATTTGCTGAACCAAATATTTTTATCCATGTTTGGTAATTTAAAAATACTGGTTTTGATTCACAGTTTATTAAATCCATGAATGCAAAACCAATGGGTACAAAAGGCCACTGTATTTACTGAAAAAAGATGCACCTACCCATGGATCTGCATAGTTCAAACTCATATTGTTCAAGGGTCAATTGTATTTCAAGACTTCAAGAGGGCCTAAAATAATCTAAGTTTCATATGTGCAGAAATCAACACCAGAGTCAGAAGCCTGAATGCAAATAGAAAACAGCCAAAACCGGTTTGGCTCAGTGGATAGAGCGTCGGGTCTGCGGACTGAAAGGTCCCAGGTTCAATTCCGGTCAAGGGCAAGTACATTGGTTGCGGGTACATCCCCGGTGGGGGGTGTGCAGGAGGCAGCTGGTCGATGTTTCTCTCTCATTGATGTATCCCTCTCTCTTCCTCTGTAAAAAATCAATAAAATATATTTTAAAAAAGAAAACAGACAAATGGACCAGCGATGCTAAACAGAGAAGAAAATTAAATCAGTAAGCAATAAAATATAAAAATCAAAATTTCATAAGGGGTTCATATTATAACTGAATATATAAGTTAAAACATTTTTTACAAAGTTACCCTAAGAACTTATTCTCCTCCCTGGCCAGGTGGCTCAGTTGGTTGGAGCTTCATCCCAAACACCAAAAAGACTGCAAGTTCGATCCCCGGTCAGGGCACATACAGGAAGAGACCAATCGATGTTTCTCACATCAATGCTCTTTCTCTCTCTTTTCCTTTCTCTCTAAAATCAGTAACAAACATTCTTGGGCGAGGATTAAAAACATAAAAAATAAATTAATTTTCAGGTTCTATCTAGGAAAAGGTTCAATAAGAAATAGAAATTCAGGAGAAAAGTCATGTTAAAAATGACTTTTATTCTAATATGAAACAAAACAAGTAAAAGTTCACAAAAAGCAAATGTAAAAGGTATAAAAAACTCAGTAGTGATTTATTAATATAACCTTAGAAGTAATAAATAAGTTAGATGTCTTGAACTTAAAGCTTTTGATATGGGAAAATTGGGCACTTTTGTTCGATTCCAGTCAAGGGGACATGCCCGGGTTGCAGGCTCGATTCCTGGTGGGGGCATGCAGGAGGCAGCCAACCAATTATTCTCTCATCATTGATGTTTCTATTTCTCTCTCTCCCTCTCTCTTCATCTCTGAAATCAATACTATATATTGATATATATATATACTTTTTTTTAAGACTTCTTTAATATTGCTGAAGCTCACAATGAAATGAACCAAAAATCTACCTTGCAATGAATTGGATAATAAAGAGCTTTTAAGTACTACAATCAAAGTTAAACTCAATATCATATAATTACAAAAATATGAAGTACTATAATATTTTACCTTTACTTCAAATTACAACACAATGTGAACTGACTGCCCTTGTAACATATTGCAGGAAGTAAGTCTGCTCACCTCGTGTTCCGAAAAAAGTGCTTTCAACTGTCCCTTGGACCAATAATCCAAAGCATATGCCAAAAGCCGCATGGCGATTGTATTAATTCTCAAGAAATTTCCAACAAATACCACCTGGTTAATATTCTGAGCACATCAAAAGAAAGCAATTAGTTTTCATCTTAATTTCAGTCTCTCTTAAAAGCTACTCCAAACAGACCATGTGCATAGTTTTTAGAAGCAAATTGACTTCTGATTTTAAAAAAAGCATTTATATTTGATCCAATTGATTCAGGATTACTTAATTTAATGCCCACACAACTATGGACTCACTTCAAAGCATGCCAGAAAAGCATCACGAGAAAACAGATAGGAAAAACATGTGTATTAAATATGACAAACAATAGCTCCTATTAAAGTTTCATACAGATAAGTAAAAAAAAAAAAAAAAAAAGACCCAATTCAAAGAAGGAAAATGACACAAATAGGCAAAATTATACAATAAATATAACAGAAAAGAAAGTCAACCTCACTAGTGATAAAAAATTTAGACCTATAAATTAGCAAAACAACTAACTGAAATTCTACCCCCAGTATTAGTCAAGTTGTAGTAAAACTGAACCATTTATTTATTGCCAAAATTATCTAAATTGGTACAGCCCTAGTGCAAATAAAACACCTTGGCAATACCTATCAAGATTTATAACACAGTCATAGTCTTTAGATGAAAATCTCACTCCTGAATAAGTCCCTTATCAAGAATAAAATTCAACCAAGAAAAATTTTCGCATTTAAAATGCTTTACCACAGAGCTGTCATTGGCAAGCAACCAAATGCCAGTGACTTATATAAAAAGCAATCAAATCATACAGCCATGAAATTTATATTTATTTAAAAATTAGAAATCAGTATGTACTCCAACTAAAATCTTAAATATAATACATAATCTTAAAATCTTAAATAAATAATCTTAAAATCTTAAATACATAAGCACAGAAAGGGAACACGCAATAAAGAAAATAGTGTTAACATAGTCAAATGAAGATTTTTTTTAATTACTTGATGCTGATACAGTATCTTTTAATTAAAAATAAAACAATTCTTTTGTACCTTTTAAGATTTCCTTTTTAAGCCACATGTCTATCTTATCTGTTTAAAAGAATAATTTTAAACAAAAATGTATAAATAGGGACAAGCTGTAAAATTGCACCAACTGGATCCCCAAGGGAAGGCCATTCTTGGTTCTTTCATAGCCCTGTACAATGCTGCTTGACCTGAATGCTACAAGGCAGCACTGTAAAGAAGCTGAAAGCACAAAGACAGCTCTGCTGCGGTGGAGGGGTGCAGGGTGGGCAGTGCTTGGCCTGCTCAATCTTCTCCCAGCTTCAATGACTTCCTCTGGATTCCTTCCCAGGCATTCTAGAGCTCCACAATGAGCATGGAGTCTAGATTCAGCATCACTACCCATCATCACCACCCAATAATAGTCCCCCCACCATCTGGCATATTGGCCACCCTCCTACCTTCTAACTGTAGCAGTGTTTATGTTCAGTAAGGGGGGGAAATCAATTAAGATTAGTCTACATGTGAAGAGTTTTAACTTCTCCAATGAAACGAACTCCACCACATATGACTACAAGTAGGCCCATTCGGGCAAAACAGATGTATTCGTGGTGGGGCACACTTAGGATTTTGTCAGAGCAACTAAAGAAATTCATGTCCCCTTACTTCATTAAGGGCACACATTCTTGCTATCGAGCCAATGTTGTTGGTGATGGTGATCAAAGTTGCTCTGGCGAGGTCCTCTTTACTGGCAGCCTCTCGCTTCTCCTTGCTCATCATGTTTCCAAAGCTGTTTTGGGGGGGGGAAAAAAATCCCTTTGATAAACTAAAGGCAACACAGCCCAACAGAACGTTAATGTTACTTTACTAAGATAAAAGTGACTTTTAGAACAATGTTCCTCAAAACTTCTAACTTTTCATTACAAAAATAAATAAATAAAGGAACATCTGGATCAAAGAGAAATACCACTTCAAAGAGAACCCTCAAGCATTCTGAATGAGCAAATGGCTTTCCCTGTGGTTTCCACTGAAATATATCGAGCTTTGATACCAGATATGCACATATTGTTAGGTCTCATCAGATGCACTGTAAGGCACCATTGCTCCTTCTGCAACCAGAGCAAGTTCCAGAAAGATACCTCTAGTAGCAATTCCTCCCAACTGCCCATCTGTTCCATTCAGTTAAAGGGTCACATTCAAATCTGGTAAACTGCTTTATCCTAGCAAAGCAAACTATAGCCAACCAGTCCCAGAGTAAACTAACAGTTTCAGATTTCTCTAGGTCAAGAGCTTTAAAGTACCTGACCTGCACAACTGCTACATTAATAACTGTGACCAGAAAATAAGCCCAACGAGTCAGAAAATGAAGTAATTACCAACAAGCAAATGCTGCGAACACAGAAAATGAAATATACAGCATTTACAAAGTACCTAAAATTAGTAAACAAGCATGTGTATATGACTGCCTTTTCTAGCATTAAGACCCATGTGCCCCAATGCACACACAAAAATTTTATTTCCAAACAATCAAAATATAAAATTAATAAAGCAACTCAACTTACAATAGCATCAAAGAGAACAAAATACTGAGAGATATATTTAACAAAAGTATAACACTTATATATACACTGAAAACTACAAAAACAATGGTGAAAGAAAGCAAATACCTAACTAAGCAGAAAGACATGCCATCTTCTTAAATCAGAAGACTACAGTCAAGCTACAATCCAGTATTCTCCAAAATGATCTACAGATTCAATACAATCCCTATCAAAATCCTAGCTGTCCTTTTTTGCAGATATTAACAAGCTGATTCTACAATTCAGACAAAAAGTTGAGGAACCCAGATGAACCAAAACAGTCTTTTAAAAAAACTGGAGGGCTCACACTTCCCAATTTCAAACTTAATGCAGCCGAAACTGGTTTGGCTCAGTGGATAAGAGCATCGGCTTGTGGACTGAAAGGTCCCAGGTTCGATTCCAGTCAAAGGCATGTACCTTGGTTGTGGGCACATCCCCAGTAGGGGGTGTGCAAGAGGCAGCTGATTGATGATTCTCTCTCATCGATGTTTCTAACTATCTCTCTCTCTGTAAAAAATCAATAATATATATTTTTCAAAAAAAAAACATACAAAGCTATAGTAATCAAGGCAAAATGATAAACATCAATGGAACAGAACTGAGTTCAGAAATAAACTATACATTTAAGAACAACTATTTTCAACAAAGAGGCCTAGAGAAGTCAATGGGGAAAGAATAGTCTATTCAACAAACAGTGCTGGGCAACTGTGCATCCACACAAAGGCATGAGTTTGGACCACTACCTCATACCACAGGCAAAGAGTGATTCAGAATGGACCATAGACCGAACATAGGGTTCAAACTATAAAACTCACCTAGCCAGTGTGATTCAGTGGTTGAGTATCGACCTATGAACCAGGAGGTCACAGTTTGAATCCCAATCAGAGCTCATGCCCAAGTTGAGGGCTTGATCTCCAGCGTGAGGCATGCAGGAGGCAGCTCATTAATGACTCTCTCTCATCACTGATATTTCTCTCTCTCTCCCCCTCTCCTTTCCTCTGTGAAATCAGTAAAAATGGTGTTTTTTTTTTAGCCCTGGCCCCAGTTTGGCTCAGTGGTTGTGTGTTAGCCTGCAGAATGAAGGGTCCCCAGTTCGATTCCGGCCAAGGGCATATACCGGGGTTGAGGGCTCAACCTGCTCCCCCCCCCCCCCAGTAGGGGACATGTTTCTTTCTCTCTCCCTCTCCCTCTCCCTCTCTGAAATCAATTAAAAAATATATAAATATATATATATATATATATATATATATATATATCTCCTAATAAGAGTAATATGCAAATTGACAATCATCCCAACACACAAGATGGCTGCCCTCATGTGGTCAAAGATCCTGCCCCCATGTGGACATTAAGATGGATGCCACAATGCCGAAACCGGTTTGGCTCAGTGTATAGAGCATCGGTCTGCGGAATGAAAGGTCCCGGGTTCGATTCCGGTCAAGGGCATGTACATTGGTTTCAGGTACATCCCCGGCAGGGGGTGTGCAGGAGGCAATTGGTCGATGTTTCTAGCACTCTATCCCTCTTCCTTCCTCTCTGTGGAAAATCAATAAAATATATATATTTTTAAAAGATGGATGCCACAAGATGGCCAGCAGAGGAGGGCAGTTGGGAGGGACCAGGCCTGCAAGGGAAGGCAGTTGTAGACTATCAGGCCAGCAGGGGAGGGCAACTGTGGGCGATCAAGCCTGCAGGGGAGGGCAATTAGGAGTGACCAGGTCAGCAGAGGAGGGAAGTTGGGGGCAACTGGGCCTGCAGGGAAGGGTAGTTGCAGGGGGGACCCAGGCCTGCAGGGGAGAGCAGATGGGGAAGACCAGGCATGTAGGAGAGGGCAGATAGGGACAAACACGCTGGCAGGGGAGTAGTCAGGGGGTGATCAGGCTGGCAGGCAGAAGTGGTTAGGGGCAATCAGGAAGGCAGGCAGGAGAGCAGTTGGGAACCAGCAGTCCTGGATTGTAAGAGGGATCCCAGATTGGAGAAGGTGCAGGTAATCCTGCTAGCAGTTCTCAACCTGTGGGTCGCAATCCACAGGTTGAGAATCGCTGCTGTAGAGCCCAAGACCATGGCCATTGAAAAACACAGATATTTACATTACGATTCATTAACAGTAGCAAAATTACAGTTATAAAGTAGCAATGAAAATAACTTTATGGTTAGGGGTCACCACAACATGAGGAACTCTATATTAAAGGGTCGCGGAATTAAAAAGGTTGAGAACCACTACTATAAAGGACCTCATCGAGGAAGTGAAGACAACTAACTGAATGGGAAAAAATATTTGCAAATTACAAATTTGCAAATACAAAATTGTATTTGATAAGGTACTTGTTTCTAGAATATATAAGAATTCTTACAACTCAATAATAAAAGACAAATAATTCAAGTACAAAATGAGCTAAAGACTTGAACAGACATTTCTCCATAAGTAGACAAATAGTCAATAAGTACATGAATAGACAAATGTTCAACATCTGTAGTCATCCTTAGAGAAATACAAATCAAAACCAGGATAGATCACTTGACACCTATTAAGGCCATTTAAACCAAAAAGACAACAAGAAGTAGGTCACCAAGAATGTAGAGAAATTTAAATTCTTCTATATTACAGGTGGGGTTGTAAAAGGGTGCAGGCACTGTGGAAAACTGTCTAGCAGTTCCTCAAAAGATTAAACATAGGAGTTATCACATGATCCAGCAATTCCAGTCCTAGGTATATTCCCAAGAGAATTCAGAACAATATGTCCACACCGACTTGTACATGAATGTTCCTAGCAGCATTATTCATAATAACCAAAAAGTTTAAATAACTCAAATGTTTATCAACCTATATATAAATGTCAAATATCCATACAATGAAATATTATCCATCAATAAAAACAAATACTACAACATGGATGAATCTTGAAAACATTAAGCTAAATAAGTCAGTCACAAAAATCACACATTGTATGATATTGTTTATATGAAGTGTCCAGAATAGGCAATACTAGAGACAGAAAATAGATTAGTGTTTATGAGGGACTGTGGGGTAGGGAAATGTGGAGTGACAGCTAGTGAATACAGGGTTTTTTTCTGGGGTGATAAAAATGTTCTGAAATTGGATTATGGTGATTACTGTACATCTGTAAATATACTAGAAATCAATAAATTGGACACATTTAACAGGTGACTTTATAATATGTAAAGCTGCTTAAAAGGAAAAAGACATACCTAATTTCTTTTTTTACTTGAGGGAGAGAAAGAGAGAGAGAGAGAAGCATCAATGTGAGAGAGGAACAACAGTGGATTGGCTCCCCTGTGTGCCCTAACCAGGGATCTGGGTATGTGCCCTAGCAAGGATCAAACCTGCCACCTTTTGGTGTACAGATGACATTCCAACCAATTGAGTGAGCCACACTGGAAAGGGCACCCAATATTTAATATTTCATTTCTGTATCTCTTAGAGAACACACGTCCCCTTACCTCGAAGCCACAGTCCAGCCTGGCAGTCCAAACCTCTCATAGTCCCCTCCATAAATGTCCCGGACTAGTTTGTCCACTTTGGTGCTATCTCCACGAGACGCCATGTCAAGAGCCTCTTCAAAAGTAGTACATCCAGTAAGCAGACAGCAGAGACCAAAAAAAGTTCCTCCTCCAAGACTGTGATTAAAAACAAATCATTTAAAATAACATTTTTTAAATAGGAAGATAGTATTTATGAACTATAAAACCATATTCACATGTCAATCTACTCTTGCCTCAAACCAATCGTGCAGAAGCCACCAGTGAGAGACAAGTCTGTGAAAAGATAAAACAGGTCCCTAATAAACACCTTGAAGGTATGCATTCGTGTGCACCAACAAGCAACATGGCAAAATACAGGACCCACCTCTCCACCCATGTCTCCAGTTCAATCTGGGCGTCTGTTAAGTTCGAGAAATCTCAAGTACTAGGTGTACTGGTTAATAATGGCAGATTTTTGTAATCAAAGAAAATACAATAATTTCAAGAGAAACATCAAAAGTGCCGAAACCGGTTTGGCTCAGTGGTAGAGCGTCGGTCTGCGGACTGAAGGGTCCCAGGTTCGATTCCGGTCAAGGGCATGTACATTGGTTGCAGGCACATCCCCAGTAGGGGGCGTGCAGGAGGCAGCTGGTTGATGTTTCTCTCTCATCGACGTTTCTAGCTCTCTATCACTCTCCTTTCCTCTCTGTGAAAAATCAATAAAATATATTTAAAAAAAAAAAAAAAAAAAAAAAAAAGAAACATCAAAAGTGCTTTTTTCAAAGTAATGTCCATTGCTAGCTACGCATTTCCCCATCTTTCAGGTGATTTGTGGATACCAGCCCAATAGAACTTTTCTTGTTTTGAGCCAAACCACTCAGAGACCCAATTTTCCACTTCTTCGTACATTTTGAAGTACTGCTCAGAAAGTGTGTGTGCCATCGATCGGAACAAGTTGTAATCTGAAGGAGCAAGGTCTGGTGAATACAGCATGTGGGTTAATACTTTCCAGGCAAGATCTTTTAACACGTCATTCTCTTTAAAAAAAAAATATATATATATATATATATATATATATATATATATATATATGTATGTGTGTGTGTGTGTGTGTATATATATATATATATATATATATTGATTTCAGAGAGGAGGGGAGAGGGAGAGATAGAAACATCAATAATGGGAATCACTGATCAGCTGCCTCCTGTACATCCCCTACTGGAGATGGAACCTGCAACTCAGGCACATACCCTTGACGGGAATCAAACCTAGGACCTTTTAGTCCGCAGGCAGATACTCTTAACCACTGAACCAAGCCGGCTAGGGCTAAATGGTTTTGAAGTGTGTGATGGTACGTCATGATGAAATAAAATTACTTTGCTGTGTCTTCTGGCACATTCTGGTCATTTCACGATCAAAGCATGGTTCAAATTGATTATTAGTTGTCGGTAGCGATCAGTATTAACAATTTCATCTGGTTTTAGAAGCTCATACTACACCACACCTCCTCATCCCACTAAACTCAGAGCACTGTCTTCTTTCTGAAGCGATTTAGCCTTGCAGTCAATGTAAACGGTTGATCTGGATCAACCCATGATTTTGTGCATTTGGGATTCTCAAAATTAATCCACTTTTCATTGCCAGTCACAATTCGATGCAAAAAAGACTTTCTTTCGTACTACTGAAGCAACATTTTACTGATGACTTTTCAGTTTTCCATTTGTCTTTCTTTCAGTTGATGTAGCACCCATTTTCCTTTCTTTAAAATCTTTCCCATTGTTTGTAAATGATCGGAAATTGTTTGCTGAGCAACGTTTTATCTTTCTGCAAGTTGTTTTTGAGTCTGACATACATCGTCATGCAATAATGCTTGTAATTGTTGGTCTTCAAACTTTTTCGGTTGACCTGGATGTTCTTTCACGTCAAAATCATCGCTTTTAAAGCGTTTAAACTAGCGTTCACAAGTATCTTGAGATGGAGCATGTTCACCATAAACTTCTCGAAGTATAAAATAACTTTTTCTTCAAAATAATGAATTAGCCAAAACCGGTTTGGCTCAGCCGTAGAGCGTCGGTCTGCGGACTGAAAGGTCCCGGGTTCGATTCCAGTCAAGGGCATGTACATTGGTTGCGGGCACATCCCCGGTAGGGGGTGTGCAAAAGGCAGATGGTCAATGTTTCTCTCTCATCGATGTTTCTAGCTATCTCTCTCCCTTCCTTTCTGTAAGAAAATCAATAAAATATATTTTAAAAAAATAATAATAATAATGAATTAAAACTTTCTGCAAATGCTTTTTTGGCATGAAATTCAATATTTTTAAGTGTAAAAATATGTTAACACCTTCAGCAAATTTGACATATGAAGTTTTAAAGCTTGTAGTCAACAAAATAGCATACATATCAAACGGTATATATATCAACATATGTGTAACTCCATCTATTGAAAAAAATCCGCATTAACTGGTACACCTAGAATACATTGAGTGGCCTGATTATTATGATCTCTGAATGTATAATAATCTGGCCACTCAGTGTGTGCAATGTGTGTGTGTGTGTGTGTGTGTGTGTGTAATATATATATATATATATATATATATATATATATATATATATATACACACACACATATATATGAGGCCTGGTGCATGAATTCGTGCATGGGTGGGGTCATGCAATACCTAAAAACTCAAGTGTTAAGCCACATGATATCAAGAATATAAAAGACCTACCTGGTACCTGTGACGCGCTTGTAATTATTTTTGGAATATACTGCTAAGATGCTAACCCCAGAGCCAATGTTCACCAGAAGCAGAGGGTATGGATTTTTCAAATCAAATGGCAACTTCTGACTTTCAGGATCAGCAGGGTTTTCAAAGTAATAGCACTGTGACCGTCCATTGAATCCAACTGAATCAATGTATAAAATTCCATTTATTAAGCAATCTAGTTCATCAAGTTTGCAAAGCTGAAGATCACCTATCTGTAATAAAATAAAATGTTTTCAGGCTTTTTAACAAGCCAAACAGAAATAAAAACTCCATTTAATAAGGCATCCCATCTATATTAAACTAATCACAAAAACACTCAAGGATGTGTAATATTTGTGCATGCTTTACAGAACATATCTGGAGACAACAAACAGGGATGGACTGATAAGACAGACTCCTGCTCCCACAGACCCAAATACACTCTACCTACAAACCACTGCAGGAGCTGGAGCAATGTGCCCACACCCAAGCAGAAAACAAGATGTCTGCTCACAGGCATGAAGCAGGAACATAGCCAAGTCACAGCCCTATCAGAAAGCAGGCGCCCCCAAAAATAAGTGATGCAAGCACCTGGTGACACTTGGCAGGAGACACCTGCCTTCCAAAAGACCATCTTCAAAACTATGGAGCAGCAACCAAGTAGGCCACACTTTATCATCAATAACCTAAAGCCAAAGGCTCCAAGTGGCCAATTAGAAAGTAAGGTTTTTCACTATGTAAATGAGTTACAGGCTCTGAAGGACAGGGAAATTTTAGCAGAATCAGAATTTAAAACTTTACTAACAACTTCATTTCACTTAAATAATAAATAAATAAATTATTAAGCACAGCTGGCATGGCTCAATGGTTGAAAATCGACCTATGAACCAGGAGGTCACAGTCTGATTCCCAGTCAGGGCACATGCCCAGATTGTGGGCTCAATCCCCAATGTGGGGCTTGTAGGAAGCAGCCGATCAATGATTCTCTTTCATCATTGATGTTTCTATCTCTTTCTCCCTCCCTCTCTGAAATCAATTTAAAAGTATATGTTTAAAAAAAAAAAAAAAAAAAGGTTATGGCCGAAGCCGGTTTGGCTCAGTGGTAGAGCGTCGGTCTGCAGACTGAAAGGTCCCAGGTTCAATTCTGGTCAAGAGCATGTACATTGGTTGTGGGCACATCCCCGGTAGGGGGTGTGCAAGAGACAGCTGGTCAGTTTCTCTCTCATTGACGTTTCTAGCTCTCTATCTCTCTCCTTTCCTCTCTGTAAAAAATCAATAAAATATATATATTTTTTAAAAGGTTATGGGTTTAATTCCTGATCAGGGCATGATACCTAGTTTGTGGGGTTGATTCCTTGGAGGCAACCAATGGATGCTTCTATCTCACATCAATATTTTTCTCTCTCTCCCTCCTTTCCTCTCTCTATATAATCAATAGCAGCCCTAGTCAGTGTAGCTCAGTAGGTTTGAGTGTCAACAGAAGACCAGCGGTTGGATTCCTAGTCAGGGCACAGGCCCAGGTTGCAGGTTCAGTTCCCAGTTGGAGTGTATACAGGAGGCAGCCCATCAATGTGGGTTTTTTTAATCCTCACTCGAGGATATTTCTCCCATTAATTTTTTAGAAAGAGTGGAAGGGAGAGGGACAAAGACTGATGTGAGAGACACATTGATTGGTTGCCTCCGGCATGCCCCTGACTAGGGCTGGGAGCCTACAACCGAGGTACATACTCTTAACCAGAATCAAACCCGGGATCCTTCAGTCCACAGGCCAATGTTCTATTCATTGAGCCAAACCAGCTAGGGCTCAATGTTATTTCTCTCCCCTACTTCCTCTCTCTTTCTCTAAAATCCATAAAGAGGTCCAGTCTGCATGGCTCCAGTGGTTGAGCGGCAACCTATGAAACAGGTCACAATTTGATTACTGGTCAGGGCACATACCCAGTATGTGGCATACAGGAGACATCCAATCAGTGATTCTCTCTCATCATTGATATTTCTCTCTCTCTCTCCCTCTCCCTTCCTCACTCAAATCAATACAAGTACATATTATTTTTAAACAAACACAATAAAGACACATTTTTAAAAAGTAAATACAATCAATAAGCATATACCCAGGTGAAGATTAAAAGGAAAAAATATGTATTAAGGTACTCCTCTAAACAAACCCAGGGCCTTGAATTGTTCATCACTATCTTTATTTCATCTGCTCAAGATCTTCCTGCCAAGACAAATTTAAATATCGACTTCCTAACAATTGAATCTCAAGCTCTAGCATCTTTATTTCTTAGGTAAGTCCATTTTTTTTTTTTTTTTTACTGTTTTTATTGATTTCAGACAGATGAAAGGAGAGGGAGAGAGAGAGAAACATCAATGAGAGAAACATCCATCCACTGCCTCATGCGCAATCCCTACTGGGGATCAAGCCTGAATCCCAGGCATGTGCCCTGCCTGGAAATCAAATCAGTGATCTCCTGGCACATGGGAAGACATTCAGTAAACTAAGCCATACCCACTGGGCTTACACTGTCATTTTACACTGGTGACCTATTAGAATCCTGAAGTATCCCACTGTGGTATTATTCCTAATGAATCCCAGCCTAATTGATAAATAGATAACAATGTATAAGTCATTTCATTAACTAAAGTTACTAAATGTAAAATTCGCACCTACATGCAAACTCAATGTGAGGAAATCTGACTCACTTTTTTTTTAAAAGGTAAATTCAATATTTTAAAACTACTTCAGATTAAGCTTTGACAACCTGTCAAGACAGTGGAATAGGTAAATGCAGTACTCATCTCCTCCCACAAGCTTATCAAAATTACAACTAAACTACAGAGCAACCATCATTCAGAACTACCTGAAATCAGACAGAATGGAAGTCATACAACTAGGGAATTAAAGAAGCCAGAGAGAACTGGCTGGTCATGCACCCATGTGTAACAGATAAAAACTGGGACAGCTATCGCCACTGCAGAGCCTCTTTCTCCCCCCTCCCTCCCACCCCCAAGGAGCAAGGGATCCCAGTCCCAAACCCTTTCTCCCGCCCTAAGTTTCAGTACAAGGAAGGTAAGTCCCCATAACTTCAGGCTGTAAAAACCAGCGGGGATTGAGGATGAGGGAAGTGGAGGGCTGCCAGAGTCCCAGGCAGTTTCTCCTAAAAGGTCCATGCATGGGACTTCCTTGGACCCACTCCCTCTAAGCTCCAGTACGGGGGCAGCAGCTTAAAAGGCATGAGAGACATAGGGGGAAAGTGAATTGTCTGGCATCAGAGTAAAAGCTGTGAGTGAGCAGTTTTCTCTTGGATAGTTGTGGCTGCTGGCCAGGCCCAGAGAGAAAGAGAGAGTTAAGTGCTGATCAACAGCTGCCACAGAGGCTAGAGATCAGACCCTGGTTCTCTCGTCAGGCCTCTCTCCAAGCCTGATTCACAGTCCCCTCAGCAGTCAGTGCTGGGTCGCCACGGCAACCCAGCACTGACTGCAGGACTGACTTCCAGTTGGTCAAGCCTCCAGTTGTGATGGACCCAGGGTTTTTATATATTAGGATTAGTCAGGTCTAATGTACAAAAGAATATTGTAAGCATTTCATTTTCATACTTCTCAAGAACAGTGCTGGTACATTCAAATGAGAAACCACAACAGCTTAAGAAATTCCTAAGATCTAAAATCTACTTTGCCCTGGCCAATATTGCTCAGTGGTTTTAGAGCATCAGTCCATGAACTGAAGGGTCACAGGTTCATTTCCCCATTAAGGGCACATTCCTGGATTACAGGTTTTATCCCCAGCCTTGGTTGGGACACATGTGGGAGGCTTGATGTGTGTCTTTCACATTAAGGTTTCTCTCTCTCCTTCTCCCTTCCCTCCTTCCACTCTCCTTAAAAAACAATGGAAAAAATATACTCAGGTGAGGATTAAACAAACAAACAATAAAATCTACTTTGCACATTCTCCTTGGAGTTACCATACAACTGAATCTCTGGTTAATAGCCTGAACGGTTTTCAAATATGTTACAAAGAGCATCTCTGCAGGGTCCTGAAATAGATGTTTTCTCCTTTAGCCATCCATTATTATCCTTCCACAAAGGAGAACCTTCTCTCCTCCTGCTTCTTTCCCCTACTCACAGGTTAAAAAGAAACCACTAAAAACCAACAACCAAGGGAAATTCAAACAAAGAATATAAAACTCTGTTCAAAAAATCATTTTTTAAATTCAATTCTATATGATATGATCAGTTATGGGAGAAAGTCAGAAGAGAGAGGACAAAGAAAGAAAACAAGGTCATAAATCATACAGTGACACACAGAGGGGAAAAAGAAATGTACACTGACATAAATGAAGGCAGAATCTCATTGGTGGCATTAAAAACATGGTCACTGAAGATATTTTGATCAGTCTTGATCAGTTCAGTTATCAATTCTCTTACTTACAACCACATCCACTTTCAAAGGACCTAGCCCCAAGGTTTTGCACATAGTGTTCACTGAATGAAAACAAAATCAAGTGCCCAATGCCACTCCCCTAGTGTCCAGAGATTCCTGTTAACAAGTGTGCTGCACAGACCACAGCAGAAGGCATATATGGAGAAAGAGAAGGCTATGTTATAAACCATCTCCAACTAGTTTTGAGACCTGAAAATCACCCCTTTGAAACAGAGTTCCTTGGCTTTTTGCTTTTTTTTGTTCTTATTTGTAAATTCCTGGGTTTTTCGCTTTTTGAAGTAAACTTGCCAAGAAACAATTAAGGGGACAAGAAAACTAGAGGAAAAAGAGATTGCAAACCATTTTATGACATTACTTTTTTTAAATTATTTTTCAATCTCAGTGTTCAAGTTTTTACTTTTTTATTTTTACTGATTTCCGAGGGAATGAGGGAGGTTGAGAGGGAGGGAGGTCAGCTGCCTCCTGCACACCCACTACTGGGGATCTAGCCTACAACCTCCAGCTTCATAGGTTGATGCTCAACCACTGGGCCACGCCAATAAGGCTCAATGTTCAAGATGTAATGACCTGGTCTTGCTGGTGTAGCTCAGTTGGTTGGGTGTCATTCCATGCACTGACAGTTGCCAGTTCAATGCCTGGTGAGGGCACATGGCCAGGTTGAGAGCTCAATTCCCAGAAGGGGGTGTGCAGGAAGCAGCCAATGTTTCTTTCTCTGTCTCCTTCTCCCTTTCTCTCTCTCTAAAAATTAAAAAGATCTTTAAAAAAAAATAAAAATTTAATGATGTTGTTCCTCCTATTTAATCACCTACTCTGCTTATCAGTGTCACTATTTTTTTATACAAAAAAATAAAAAAGGCTATGTTTTTAGTTCTGATTCTCATTTCATCTGAATTGTGTAAAAAGTAAACTATACAACAAAATCTCTAGATTACTAACTCCTATCACTAATTTATATTTAATCTTAATTTGAAAAGAATATTCACGTTCCATTAGAGATGGAAATGATTCCATCCCTTGCTACTGGTATTATTTTAAACAATCAGATTCCCATAAATTGTATATAAGCTAAAAAAATGCATACTGTGAGAAAATCCTGCTCAAATTTGTACGCTCCACCTCCAGTGGCACAAAAGACAGTGTGGAGACTTGAGAAGTTTTTATCTCTGCCCATTTGAATAAAAGCAGGCATGTCATGAGTGGGAAAGCGTATAAAGTGCAGATTGCCTTTGCGTCCACACAGAGTCAGGTCCTTCAGCTCCAGGTGCACGTCCCGAATACCCGTGGACCCATAAGCCACATTGGAGGTCAGGTACTTCCGAATGCTTTTGAGACTTTCCACTTCTTCCTCTTCTTCTTCAGCAGTGATATCTTTGGGTTCAAAATAAACCAGCTTGACTAGGGTTCCACCAATATCCAAGCCAAACCATGGAAAAACTAAATGGGGAAGAAAAAAAAGTCAGAACAGCTTTTTCATGAAAACTAAATTTATACTTATTAGATTAGAAACTTATTTCATACCCTGAGGTTTCCCAGAAATATATAAACAAAAAGGCTTTGGGGGGGCCTGGCCAGTGTGGCTCAGTGGTTGAGAGGCAACCTATGGACCAGGAGGTCACAATTCAATTCCTGGTCGGGATACATGCCCAGGTTGCAGACTTAGTTCCTGGTGGGGGCGTGCAGGAGGCTGTTGATCAATGATTCTCTCCCATCACTGATGTTTCTATTTCCCTCTCCATTCTTCTCTGAAATCAATTAAAAAAAAACATTTTAAAAAAAGATTGAGAATAAAAATCTTCACCCTTCCCCATGGCTTAGAGAAATGTTAGAAGTTTTCAGAGCTCTGGTTTAGGACTCCAACTAATAAGCTCTGTGTTCAATTTCTCTCAAAACCTAATGTCCTTAAGAGGTTTCAATGGACTTCAGTGAAACAGATGTTTCAAAATTAATGTTACCAAAAAAACTGTCCACAAACAATGGCCTTCAGAGATCAAGATGGACTGCAAATATGCATGACTTCCTTTCCCACTTTAAACCCCAGACATAACTAAAGGTATAGACTTATTGATATATTTTTTTCTAAAATAATTTTGGAAACAAGAAGTGATACTATCAGTAGAACTATGTTGATAAAGGCAATAACTGCCTAGAAACCTCAAAAGAGGAATGCTGTGTGGCTCAGTGGATGAACGTCACCCATAAACCAGAAGGTCCAGGTTCGATTCCTTGGCAGAGCTCATGCCCAGGTTGCAATCTCAATCCCCAGCAGAGGACATGCAGGAAGCAGCCAATTGATATTAATATTGATATTTCTATCTCTCTCTCTATCCCTCCCCCTTTCTTCTCTCTAAAATCAATTGAAATACATATTTTTTTTTAAAAGAGGAATGCTATAATAATTGGCAGCAGCTATGAAGGTGTGGAGACCATGGGGTGTTCCACCCAAGCTATAGATGGGGTGACTGTCATGGGAAAACAGGAGCTCTGGTGCAGTCATGAGTGACCTGGTGGGAAATATGGCACAACTGGACAGGCTGGCCACTTCCCTCTACTGAGAACCACTCCTCTTCTCCCCCTTCTTCCAGCCAACAGAGGCAATGAGCACAGGCACTTGAGCCCAAGATTTAAGACCGCATCTATTACCCAGAAAAAAATAGGTGTCCAATTCTGGCCATATGTCCCATCTCTCCCCTACAGTCCAATCTGACAGACTGGTAAACAGACACTGCATCCTCTGACAGGAAAATAGCAATCCTCACACCAGAGATAACACTTTACAAACTAGAATCACCAAAAGGGAAATCAACACCACAAAAAGATGAAAGAATACATAACAGATTATCCAAATAAGTTTATATACAACTTTAGAATAGTAAGTTTAAAATGTAAACTGAAGCAAGGGATTAGCTAGAAAAACAGTACAAAATGTGGCTTAAAATAAGATGGGAAACACAGAAATCAAAAGCACTGCAAAGATATAATACCAAAACAAAACAATAAAAAAACATCAGTCCCTAATGGTTTCTATTAAAACCTTTAGGAGCTCTGGGCAGCCTCTATCTGGCCCAGGGCAGCTGGAGAGGCTGAGGGGACTGGGGGACTCCAGAGGCAGGTGCCCTGGTGGGCTGAGGAGACAAATCAACAAACAAACAACAGTGCTAGCAAGGATGTAGAGAAAAAGGAACTCTCGTGCACTGCTGGTGGGAATGCAGACTGGTGCAGCCACTGTGGAGAACAATATGGAGTTTCCTCAAAAAACTAAAAATGGAGCTCTCATTTGACCCAGTAATCCCACTTCTAGGATTATATCCCAAGAAACTAGAAACATCAATCAGAAAGGATATATGCACCCCTATGTTCATAGCAGCACAATTTACAATAGCTAAGATTTGGAAACAGCCTACGTGCCTGTCTGCAGATAAGTGGATAGAAAAACTATGGTACATCTACACAATGGAATACTATGCTGCCATAAAAGAAGGAATTCTTACCATTTGCAGCAACCTGGATGGAATTGGAGAACATTATGCCAAGTGAAATAAGCCAGTCAATGAAAGAAAAATACAACATGATCTCACTCATTTATGGATAATAAAGAACATTATAAACTGTTGAACAAGAAGATAGATACAGAGCAGTAAAGCATCAAACAGACTGTCAAATTATAGGGGGAAGGTTAGGGAGAGGTGGGGGAGATAAGAGATCAACTGAAGGACTCGTATGCATGCATATAAGTATAACCAATAGACACAAAACGCTGGGGGGTGAGGGCATGTATCGAAGTAAGGTGGGGGGGGGGGGGCCAATGGTAAGATATGTACACATGTAATACCTTAAAAAACTGAAGAAAAAACACACAAAATACTGTGCTATAAAATCAGCAGGCTCAATAATAAATGTTACATTTAGAAAATACAAACACACAAAACCTAATAGACAACTAAAAACTGCAAGATGACATTCACTTTTAAATGGGTTTTTTTGTTGTTGTTGGGTTGGGTTTTTTTGGGGGTGTTTTTTTTGGGGGTTTTTTACTGTGAGAAGGAAAGAGAAAAGTATCAATTAGCAGCCTCTTATATACCACCAACTGGGAATTGAGCCAGAAACCCGGGCATGTGCCCCAACCAGGAATCTAACCAGAGACCTTTTGTTACAGGGGAGGATGCTCAACCAACTGTGCCACACCACACCAGCCAAGGCAATGACTTCCCATTTTAAACAACAAAACTTAAGCCATTATTTTAATAAGGGGATTTTCACATCCTAGTCATTCTCACTGAAATAAACTAAGAAAAGTACCTAGACATAAAGATTCCCCAAGTTATGAACTTGAAAAATGCTAAGGTATAAACTTAACCCCAAGGAGCATCACTGATCTTTTAAATGACAAGATAGTCATTCTTTCTACTTAATTAGGTCCTCTCCAACAGCCTACAGTCTACTATCTTGTTTATTGTCTTTCCTTTCAAAATGTTTTTAAGCAAGTACTTTTTATTGTTGTTGTTAAATCCTCTTCCAAGGATATTTTCTCCACTGATTTTTAGAGACTGGAAGGGAGGAGGCGAGAGAGAAAAAAACATGGGTGTGAGACAGACACATTAGTTGGTTGCAGGAGCCTCAATGGGTTAGGGATTGAGCCAACAACCCAGGTATGTGTCCTTGACCAAAATCAAACCCAAGACCTTTCAGTCCAAGAGCCCATGATCTAACCATTGAGCCAAACCAGCCAGGCCTAACCAATTTCTTTTAATAGCATACATCTCTTCTGGCTTATGGTTCCCGCAGATAAACAGAAGTCTGGGATGCCAACACTGAATAACTGTATTATCTAAATGCAAGACTCATACATAAGGTCCCTTAAATAACAAACGGTATCATTTTTTTATGCAGTTGCATAATGGGACTATTTTTAGGCCCTAATTAATGTTTTGTATATGTTATGTATCTAAAAAAGGTTCATATTTACTTCGATTTCATTTAAAGTTAGTAAGCCAAAAAGCATTCTCTCCCATTTGTCTCTCAAATACGGGATACAAAGCAACAGATATTTAAGCTTTTCCCTAGCTTCTATTGGGCAGCCCTTCCTAATTCCCCAACTGAAAATGGAACACTGCATCTGATAAAGGACAGTCTGCCCAGGAACCAGCACCAGTTCCATTCTGCCAACATTAATGCTTTCCCAAAGCCAAGGAAAAGCAATCCATTTTCTAGTTTAAAATTGTCAAGCTACAAAAAAAAAAAAAAAAAAAAAAAAAAAAAAAAAAAAAAAAAAGCCTTATTTTCTAAACTAATGGAAGTTAAGGACATTCTATAATTGGGATGAGCCCAAAACCAGTTAAGTCCAAAGGACAACTACAACATGCTTGGGAGTCATTGAAAGAACCAGCTCACCCCCACAATGCTATGGAACATCTAATCCCAGGGTCCTCACATCTCCTGCATAACTGAAGCCTTTGATTGAAATATTCTCCTATTACATGAGTATACGCATTTGTTAAAATTGCACTTTACTGTAATGTAATCATACCTCATTAAAATTTTAAAAATTAAAAGATGCATATTGAGAGTTTTTTAAAACTTCCGAGTGGAGAGAGGGAAGATGGCGGAAGAATAGATGGGCGGATTCTGAGCCCTCTCCCGAAGCAGAAAGAGAGAGCAACTGATGGTCTTGAGCTGTGAGTGTTTATTAGCAAGCTGGGAGACAGCGAACACCAGAAGAAACTGCTGGGGGGCTGCTGACAGAGGTACCCCTCACAGGGAAGCACCCACGCGGGCTGCGTCCCTGCCCGGAGCTACCTGCCGGCTTGGATAGGGAAACCTCGCCATCTTGAGAGGAAGACAGGATCGTGTCAGAGGCCTGAATATCCACAGCCGCAGCGACCAACAAGCAACTGTGACCCCCAGAACGCGGATCCCAGGCAGCGCGAACACCTGGCCCCACAGGAGTGCCCCACTGCTCGGCGAAAAGGTCAGATTTCGCGGGGAGAGGGTGGAGCGCACTCGCGGCGAAAACAAAGCCTGCGCGCAGAACGCGGAAGCTGGAGGACAAGGGCGGCGATTACAAGTACAAGCCCCGCTGTTGGGCGAGTGTCACCCGTGAAAGTGGACGGGGCTCCTAACAGGGGAGATATCTAAAGAGCAACGCATTTGGATCTGGCGCGGAGGGGTATCGGAGAGTTGCAGGAGATTGAGGTTGCTCGGACCTGCCCCCTCCCCCCTCCGTAGTTCCTGCTTCAGAGAGGACTAAAAAAAAAAAAAAAAAAAAAAAAAAGCTGGAGAGGCTATAGAGTCTGGGAAGTCAACCTAGAAACACTGCCCCCAGAGGCTAATTCACAAATTGACTCTAGTGTAATAAAAACAAAGCAAAACCCGCCTAAAAATCAGGACTGGATCATAACAATAGAGGAAGCGAATGACCTTCATTTCTGCAAATTTTA